AGGAACCTCAGGTAGAATAAAATTGAGTTCTCAGATGGATATATGGCAAGAACAAATTATTTTTAGACATGAAGGATATCAACAGAAATGAGATAGGGCAGCTAAGAGGAGTTGAAGTAGATTAACCCTTAAGTCAATGAGTGGTGGAATGAACTGAAGTGACTACATGGCTTACTCCTGCTCCAACTTCTTGTTATAAACAGAGCTAAGATGGAGGCCATGGAAAAATTTGAACAATCAGAAATTGAAATCAAGTTGCTGGTGACAGTGTAAATTTAGGCCAGCAAGCAAAAATTCATGGGGTGGGTTAAAACACAGCAAAGTTTTCAATGCGCTCAACATTATAGATGGTGGAAAATGGGAGGTAATCCAGGAAAGCATATGAATACTTGAGGTGGCAGGGAACAAATGCAAGGATTCCAGTGACCTGGCTTGTCCTCTTTCACGTTATCTGGCAAGTTCAAGTCATACTTGTTTGATTTTTAGGAACATCAAAAACATTCTTGGTGGATCACCTTAAAACAATTATTTGATTTTTTCAATACTTAGTACTGTCTGATTTGTTTTTATTCAGTGGCACATTTCAACTATGTAATTGCAAATAAACTGCAAACAAGTGCAGCTGATGTTTATGCTGAAGGGTTCCAGCACTTTGATATCTGATAGCCAAATGGTGTTCAACAGTACTAAGATCATTTGGCATTTTCACCAGCAATTAAACTATGCAGTCAAACAGCACAAGCCCTGAAGTGATGGCATCTGTTCATGGAAATCTCTAGGAATAAAAATACTCTTGTTTTGGCGAGTAAGTTCCTCCTATAGGTTAGCAGAGGACAGGGAAACTGGCTGAATGAAATGATTCCATTGTGTTCAACAACACAATAGTACATACATTCAAAATAATTACACATCAAGAAGAATAATAAATAATGTGCATAAAATTCCATTAGTATTCACTTATCATAAACATATTTGCAAATATGAACGATATATTTAAACCATTCAACAACGGGAAAAAACATACAAACATATTTCAGAGTGACCTGCGAATACTACTTGCATGGGTAATCTATTTGAACAATAAATTCCTTACAAATCTTAGCCTACAGTTCATACATATATGCACCAGTAATTAAGCTTCTTAATCATACTCAGGTGGTTTATTTGAATGCAACTACAGCTTCATTTGCTTACAAGCAAAAATATTTACTTACCTGGAAAGACTGATAATTTGCACTGGGCCAACCACTGAACACATCTATATTTCTCTCTCTCATAAGGAGTCCACATCTGGGAGACATGATCTTTTGTTTATCTAGGCCCTATTACATCCTGAATGCATCAACTTAGTAGTTTCAACTCTTACATGGGTTCCAGTCATCAGAAATTGATGCTACAATTTAGGTTGATTCGGTGACATCCTTCCATCTGTGACAGTTGATGTGAATACAGCCTCAACATTAGTGAGGTCAGGTGAGATCACTTGCTGCAATCGTTTCATGCATGAATGAATCAACTCTGCACCAAACACAGCTAGTGTTGCCATTTGCGTTACTTGTCAGTTGGAGACTGCTACTTATCACAGTTGATGTTTTAGGCCTGATCTTTTAAAGGTGATACTTCAGGTGACATGGAAGCAAAATTCCACAGTTGGACGCAAAGTCAAATCAGACGCCTGCAACTTTTTGTTGCATTGGTTCAGATAGAAACAAAAATTTGATGGCAATTGTGGAAACAGGAATTCCTTTGTCACCTTGATCAGCACCTCCTTATTGAGCTTTAACAGAAAAGCTGATCCTTTCTCCTGTAATTCTTACTGTGAGCTTGCTGTGCACAAATTAATTATGCTGGTCCAAAGTACAGTGTTAGCAGTTCAAAGTACGCAAACTGATTTGAATTACATGAAAGAAATGAAAATGCACTTTATATGTACACAATATCTTCCTTTCTTTTCTAGTTTTTGATGTCTACCATGATAGATACTCAAAGCAGTGGTTCATCCACTTCTGCAAGTTTGCAATGCATCACATGACTGGGGCAAGATTAAAAATATTACATTACTGATTATGTCCTCCAGGGCTTATTATTGTGCAACATTTTCACTCTTATCACTGAAATGGATTCAATTATGGATTTCAAAAAGGATCTGGATAATTACCTGAAAAAAAGAACAAACTTGGAGGATACAAAAGAAAGAAAGATAGCAGCGGAGCTGTAATACATGAATTATTAGAATTACAATAAACCTAATTGCCACATGCATTCAAATGAGTACAGTGAAAATTTTATGAGTCACCACTCACAATGCCATCTTAGGTGCAAAGGTACCTAGGTAAAGATTTTCAAGTACAAATTCTTAACAAAAATAAATTAGAAAAGTAAAGAAATAAAAAGTCCAGCATTACAGATCATAGGAAGAAACTAGAAAAATAAAGAAATAAAAAGTTCAAAATAACAAACCACCATGCCGTGCCAAGAGATTGCCATGGTGGGTCCGCGCGGAGGCTGAGAGTCTGAGGCTGGGAGTCCAAGTCCATGCTGTGCCGGGAGTTCAGGACATCACCAAGAAGAAAGAAGGAAATAAATAAAAAGCAGTAAAGAAGAAAATGAAATGGACAGAAGGGACGAGCTCCTGCTGAGCAGCCCTCTTGGAACTGCTCTTGCAGAGATCCAACAATGGAGTGAGGGATTTCCTTCTGTGCTATAACCATTTTACAACTTACCCTTCTCAAATCTGCTACAGCCTTCGACAAAGTAAATCCAGTGTTGAACTTCATTTTATAGCTCAGTGGGCCTATCCCTTGCTTGATTTCACTTTCATCTATCCAACTGTGGTGAGCGCATCTCCAAACATCATATTACTTCCCACCATCTCATTTCTACTTCAAGTGTCTCAAGGATCAAACACGGGCTCCCAGATTTTATTGGTGTTTTGTTTTGTGGTGTGGTCATATCTGAAGTTGTTGGTTAGGTTTCACATTTATGCTAACAACACTCAGCTCCACTACTCTACCATCTCTCAACCACATGCTGCCTCTGGATCGTTAACCAATGTAGTAAACATCCAGAGATGTTTTGGTATTTAAGGATCTTAAATGAGCTAGATAAGAAGCTGAGCAATGCAAGTCCAGGGTGTAGCATCTTGAAGATCATCTTCAAAACCCAGTTCTTTGACCAAGCTTTCATCCTTGCAACTGACTTTATTTTTGTGAAGTACCTTGGAATATTATTCTACTTTAAAGTTACTACACAAATGCAGCGACACTGTTGTCCTCTCAGTCAATGACTCCATCCAGCACAATTGCCTATTTTTTGCCCGGAGTTCGACTCCCACTGCAACAATAACATAGCCATTGATGAAGATGCACTTTCTTCCCAATCTTGAATCCACTTATCCCTCGGGTTGCAGCCCTCAGCATGGAGTCAACATCCAACTGGATCTCTCCACCATCTCCATTGGAATGTGGATTCAAAAACATTTTTGCCAAATGAACATCAATAAGCCCAGATACTGATTATGCTCTCTGGCAAAAGTTTCACGTCCTTTCCACTCATCCCATCCTGTTCAGGATGAACCAAGTCATGTCAGGTCTCAATAAAATTTTGCGCTCCAATACTGAACATTCCACTAATCATCAGTTCCGTAATACAATGCAACTTTATTCCAACCTCCCACCTACTGTTTCCTTTATTTACATGGATATGTTTTGTCAGAAGCAGACTTGATTTCCCTCTTGTCCTCCTTGCCAGTGTCCTGTTCAGTTTTTCATGAATTAAATTGGTTGAAAATGCAACTACTCATTTCTTACTTACATATACTTGCTTATAATCAGAAATCTATATCGACTTAAATGCAACCTAATGTATTGAATTTAAAATCCTTAATCATTGACAAAAGATATTCCATGGTATGGTCACACTGTACTTTTGCCTTTAATCTAATAATGGATCACACAAATACTGCTAAAGTTTAAGTATCAAAATGAATCTCATAACAGATTAGGTATTCAAGAGAGATTCTAAGGACAGGACTTCACAAAATGTGAATTACCTCTGATCTTATTATTGTGTTTACTTACCTTTATCATCAATCATGTCAATTAAACTACATATTCTGTCTAACTTGTATGACTCATAACTGTAGTATGTGAATGCTGATGCGTGTAGGTGGGTCAGCAACTCAATTACTTCCATCTTCTCCGATATCAGACAATGAAGCATATCACATCTTCTCTCTTTTCACATAATTAAAAAGAATATGTAAAACTTGGCCTTATTGCGAACACAAATTCATTAATCACTGAGGCAGAAAAGGGAAAAACAAGGTACCACCAGAGGCAACTTTAACTTGGACAGCTGTCTCACTCAATTAGTCTTTGGTGAGAGGAAATCAACCATACAAGGAGTAAAATGAAAAATGTGCTGAAAATAGTGAAAGTATGTTCATTCCATGACCTAATTTCTTGTAGCTTGATCTTTATGTTTTTCTATCTCAATGAACAAAAGCCATATTAATCAATATTAGTTTTAGTACTTTTTAATATGCTTAATAAAATCTTTAGTGCAGGGGGAAAGTTTTTGATATTTATTAGTAGATAATCGAAACTTTTTGCGCAGGCAAGGTGACCAGAGTTGAACAATGAAACGTGAAATTAGATGAATACGGCAGACTTTTGCAGGTCACTGAGGGCCCTGCGTTTGCCCATTCATTCAACTTGTCTAAATCAACTTGGAGCCTCCTTGCACCTTGCTCACAACTCTCAATACTACCCAGTTTTGTGTCATCATCAAGCTTGGAAATTTTGCATTTGGTTCCCTCGTCCCCTAAGTCACTGCCTGTCATGTGGAAAACACCAATTTTATTACCACTCTTGGTTGCAAGCAAGCCTATTTTCTGTTCTTTTATTGAATGTCAGCTTTGGTCAGTCCTCAAGGTATGATTTGAGGTTGACTGGTCCTTAGCAAGTAACTCATCAAACTCAACTCCAAGAGCACACAGCTTCTGTCAATAATGTGCTGAGATTACAGCATTTATTATAATTAGATTAGAAAAACACCACTTCATGAACATAACAGAGCAACAACTATAACTGAAACACAGTTTGATAATAATTTATTCCCACAAATTCATAACAATTCATCATTATGAATGTGGCCTTTTGTAAACTGGTCATATTGTAATCACATCTTGCAACGGGTATACAGCACTCAGGAGCTCATCTCCAATCTCCTACTTTTACTGTAATGAAACTTCTATGTTCTAACTAAGTCTTATTCTGTACTTGAAGTTTCCCCAAGTCTGTGGTTTAAGTATAATTAAAAATACAAAATTGAATTGAAAGGAAGAGTCAAGGTACAAAACAATAACAAGATGTACAGTTTGTAAATTGGGATTGAAATTTGGTGACATGCCTTGGATCATCACCTGAAAGTTGGACGTTGCATGGGCAAAATTACAAGAGAATAACTCAAATCAAATTTGTTTCCATTTTTGTTTTAGTATCAGAAAAATAAATCATTCAAATTTCAGACTGACTCTACCTATTCACATCTCACCTGGACCTATGTTTAATATCTTCTCATGTAATGTGACCATTATTGACTAGGCCAGCATGTGTTATTACTGCTAACTGCTTGAGAAAGTGGTAGTGAGCCACTAATTTTATAAATTCTTTAATGGGGTGACATTCCAGGTGAGGTCAGCAATTGTTGCTCATTCATAATGCCCTTGCAAAAGTGAGTAATCCTCTGAAATCCACCTGAAGTACGACTGACTGCAGACATCTCAGCAACTAAATTGGAAAGCTGAAGGATAAAGCACAGTTTTAATGTAACCAAGAGAATTTAAAAAAAATGCATCAAAAACTACATCCAAGTTTACTTCCTTCTGCTTTTGCTGAAAACAATTAAAGGTGCAAAAGGTAATACAGTGCTGGAACATAGCTTAAACTGCTGGAAACTGCAGCCAAATCCTGTGCAGAACAGGTGGCATCAAGATTTCCTCTCTTCACCAGCTGCTAAAAGTCCTAATCAAAGTAAATTTTGGCAGTTTTAATTGAGTTTCCAATTGAACATAGACATAGAACATAGAAGAGTACAGTGGATGTGATAGGCTCATTCAGAAAGCAAGGAGGCATGGGAATCCCATGCCTCCTTGCTTTCTGAATGAGCCTATCATGGGGAACTTTATCAAATGCCTTTCTAAAATCCATATATATCACATCCACTGCTCGACCTTCAAATGTGTTTTGTCACATCCTCAAATGAATTCAATAAGCCTTGTGAGACATGACCTATCCCTCACAAAGCCATACTGACTATTTCTAATCAAACCGTGCTTTTCCAAATATTCATAAGTACGGTCTCTCAGCATCCTCTCCAATAATTTGCCCACCACAGAAGACTGACTGACTGGTCTGTAATTCCCAGGATTATCCCTATTCCCTTTCTTGAACAAAGGAATAAGATTTGCCACCCTCCAAATCATCTGGTACTACTCCAGTGGACGGTGAGGGCGCAAAGATCATCGCCAATGGCGCAGCAATCTTTTCCCCTTGCTTCCCGTAGTAACCTTGGGTATATCCCGTCTGGCCCAGGGGACTTATCTATCCTCATGTTTTTCCAAAATTTCTAGCACATCCTCCTTCCTAACATCAACCTGTTCGAGCATATCAGCCTATTTCATGCTGTCCTCACAAACGCCAACGTCCCTCTCACTGGTGAATACTGAAGCAAAATATTCATTAAGGGCCTCCCCTATCACCTCCTGCTCTGCACACAAGTTCCCTCCACTATCCCTGATTGGCCCTACCCTCACTCTGGCCATCCTCTTGTTCCTCACCGAAGTATAGAATGCCTTGGGGTTTTCCTTAATTCTACCTGCCAAGGCTTTGTCATACCCGCTTCGAGCTCTCCCAAGTCCATTCTTCAGTTCCTTCCTGGCTACCTTGTAGCCCTTGAGCCCTGTCCGATCCTTGCTTCCTCAACCTTAAGTAAGCTTCCTTCTTCCTCTTGACTAGATGTTTCACATATCTTGCATCCAAGGTTCCTTCACCTTACCATCCCTTCCTTGCCCCAGTGGGACAAACCTATCCAGTACGCGCAGAAACTGCTCCCTAAATAACCTCCACATTTCTGTCGTGCACTTCCCCGAGAACATCTATTCTCAATTTATGCTCCTAATAGCATTGTAATCCCCCCTCCCCCAATTAAATACGTTCCGATACCATCTGCTCCTGTCCCCTCTCCATGACTATAGTAAAGGTCAGGGAGCTGTGATCACTATCAGTAAAATGCTCTCCCACTGAGAGATCTGACACCTGGCCTGGTTCGTTGCCAAGCACCAAATTCAATATGGCCTCTCCTCTAGTTAGCCTACCTACATATTGAGTCAGAAATCCTTCCTGGACACACCTGACAAAATCTGCTGTATCCAAACTATTTGCACTTAGGAAGTTCCAGTCAATAATAGGGAAGTTGAAATCACCCACGGCAACAACCCTATTATTTCTGCACCTTTCCAAAATCTGCCTCCTAATCTGTTCCTCAGTGTCTCTGTTGCTACTAGGGGGTCTACAGAAAACTCCCAATATAGTGACTTCTCCTTTCTGGTTTCTGACTTCCACCTAAACTGACTCAGTAGACAATCCCTCCTTCACGACCTCCCTTTCTGCAGCTATGATACCGTCCCTGATTAGCAAGGCCACTCCCCCACCTCTTTTACCTCCCTACCTATTTGTTTTGAAATATCTATACCCCGGAACATCCAACAACCATTCCTGCCCGTGTTATCCAAGTCTCCGTAACGGCCACAACATCCTGGCTTCAAGTACTGATCCATGCTCGAAGTTCATCACCCTTATTCCTGACACTTCTTGCATTAAAATTGGCACACTTCAACCCGTCACACTGACTGCAACTTTGCCCGATCAACTATCTATCCTTCCTCACAGATTCTCTGCATACTGTGTCTGCCTGCACACCAGTTACCCCATTCTCTGATTTGTAGCTTGGGTTCCCAACCCCCTGCCAAACTAGTTTAAACCCTCCCGAAGAGCTCTAGCAAACCTCCCGCCCAGGATATTGGTTCCCCTCCGGTTCAGGTGCAACCCGTCCTTCTTGTACAGGTCCCAACTTCCCCAGAAGGTTTCCCAATGATCACATATCTGAAACCTTTCCTCCTATACCAGCTCTGTAGCCACGTGTTCAGCTGCACTTGATCTCTATTCCTAACCTTACTAGCCCGTGGCACCGGTAGTAATCTTGAGATTACTACTCTGCTCGTCCTGCCTTTTAGCTTCCAACCTAATTGGCATAATTCCAAATTGCAAAGCCAGTCTTAATGTACCATTCAGCCTTAATTGGCAGTCACCCATAGAAAGCTCAAAGGATCAAGAGAAGGATAGAAAATTAAATGGCAATGGGACATGGAGAATATGTATCCATCTTTGCCAGCAAGTACTGGGTGTGACCATTCGACATGTGATGTGAGAATTGTTGGAGTTGTTAATCGACTAATAAACTCAAATGACAGTTCTTTCAGGCTAAGTAATAATGGAACAAAAACTCAAACAATGACAGCTTGTTTGTGCAGCGTATTAGTGTGCTCAGCCCATGTTAACACTCGTAGCATCTCATACTGGTAGGAATCCAAGTTTTGCACCCACATCAAGTCCCTGATCTTAGCAGAAATACCTGAAGAAATCTTGAATAGTCAGTGATCAGAAGAGAATCACATTGTGTTCAGTTGTCAAGTCGTAAAATCGAGCCATCAAAAGACCTAAACAACTTTGTTCAGCAATGCTGAATTTAATTTGAAAAGGACATTACGATAAATCAGAAATATTGCCTCTCTGTATTGTCAACATATTTCTACATTTCTTCATTACTTGTTGTGGAGTCATTAAAATTATGAATAGTTTAAATAAAATTTTCAAGTACAAGTGTTTTCTCTAATACCAAAAGGCCATCAATTGAAAGCAATTTATACACCAAATGCATTTCAGGCAATACAAATCAATATCTCGCTTTTCTACTAAGGCAATACCTTAACAATGGATGGAAGATAACTGTGATGTTCCGAGCTCCAGGTTTGCAGACAAACTTCGTGCCTCCTCCTTCGATTAGACTGTCATCAGCTCCTCCTGCAAAGCAACACATCAGGTTCAAATACTCAAGTCAAATATTTGAATCCCAAAGGGACCTCACTTCAAGGGGATATGGAGAACCAAATAGTTGTGTGACTGCTACAGTTCCCTGTTCTTTAAAGGAATAGCATTGCTAGAGTAAAAGCGATATATGACTACATAAAAATTGCTCAGTACAGGTTGATAAGTCATGTTGAGGTTGTATGGGACATTGGTGAGGCCTCTTCTGGAATACGGTGTCCAGTTCTGGTCACCTGTTACAGAAAGGGTGTTATTAAGCTGGAGAAGGTCCAGAAGAGATTTACCAGAATATTGTCGGGTATGGAAGGTTTGGGTTAAAAAGAAAGGCCGAATAGGCTTGGACTTATTTCACTGGAGGGCTGTCAGGTTGCCTGTCAACCTCCTGAGGTTTACAAAATAATGAGGGGCACAGCTACAGTTAATGGCAAAGATAGTAGAAACTGCAGATGCTGGAGAATCTGAGATAACAAGGTGTAGAGCTGGATGAACACAGCAGGTCATCACATCCAAATCTGCATTTGACAAAAATCATACTTTGCAGAATAATTCTATCATAGTATAACTCTACTTTTAATGGACAACGGTTCACTTCAGGAGAGAATGTCTAAGATTGGAATGGAGTACTGAGAATACAGGCAATATAGAAAGCAATAAAGAAGCACAGTAATTGAGCACTCAGTAAAGATTAACAACACAGGGAAAACAGGCAAAGACCTAAATTACAATTCTTGCAGCATAGCCCTTCTATACTATGACCCATGCCAAGTACTGACCCTAATGTTATACTTAATAAAACCAATTTCCAGAACAAGAACACAGGCTTAATTAAAAAAAAAACACAAGTCGATAACAGTCAGCTTTTCAAAAGTGGCACTTCTGATGTGACTCACGTGTCTCAAAATATTCTTCTACCTTTTTATTGAACATGCCTTGCGCTTGCAAGGCCAGCATTTGTTGCCCATTGGCAATTATTCTTGAGAACAAAGCACAATACAGTACAGGAACAGGCCCTTCGGCCCATCAAGCCTGTGCCAATTCCTAATCGTATGTCTGTCAAGTTACACCTTAAACATTGCTAACACGTCGGCTTCCACAACCTCCACTGGCAGTGCATTCCAGGCACTCATCACCCTGTGTGAAAAATTTTCCTCACATTTCTCCCCTAAACTTTCCACGTCTCACTATGAACCCATGCCCTCTTACAGTTGACCTTTTTACCCTGGGGAAAAAGCCTCTGTCAATCCACCCTATCTATGCCTCTCAATTTTGTAGACCACTATCAGGTTACACCTTAGCCTCCATCTTTCCAGTGAAAATAATCCAAGCTGTCCTCATGCCCAAAACCATCCAAATCAAGCAACATCCTGGTAAACCTTCTCTGCACCCTGACCAAAGCATTTACGTCCTTCTGGTAGTGCAGCAACCAGAACAGTATGCAATAAGTTTCATACTGGGGAAGGAGGGGATGAATGGTTTTCTTCAACTGCTGTAATCCATCAGCTGCAAGTACATGCAGAAGTTTGTCAGAAAGAAGATTCGAAGGATTTTAACGCAGTGACAGTTAACAAACTGCAATACAGTTCCAAATTCAGATGGTATGTTAGAAACAAACAGAAATTGCTGGAAAAACTCAGCAGGTCTGGCAGCATTTGTAAAGAAACGTCAGTTATCGTTTCAGGGGTGACCCTTCTTCAGAACTGAGGAAGCATCACTGGTCCCAAAATGTTAACTCTGCTTTCTCTTCACAGATGCTGCCAGACCTGCTGAGTTTTTCCAGCAATTTCTGTTTATGTTTCCGATTGCTGACGCAGTTCTTTCAGCTTTTATTAGGTGGTACGTTGCCTGGAGGGAAACATATAGGTGGTGGTGTCCCCTTGCTGCTACCCATGTACTTCGAACAACAAAGAACAAAACAGCACAGGAACAGGCCCTTTGGCCCTCCATGCCTGCGCTGACATGTTTTGCCCTTCCACACCAAAATAGTCTTCACATACAGGATCCGTATCCCTCTATTCCTTTGTATTCATGTATTCATTCATGTGCTTCTTGAATGCTGCCATTGTCTCTGCTCCCACCACCTCCTCTGGCAGCGTGTTCCAGGCACTCACGACCCTTGGTGTGAAAGGCCTTGCACATCTCTTTGAACCTTCCCCACCCCTACATCTTGAACCAGAGTCCCCAAGTAATTGACGCTCCACCCTGGGAAAAAGCCTCAGTCTTTCCACTCTATCCATGCCATTTATAATCTTAGAAACTTCTATCAGGTCGCCCCTCAACCTCCTGTGTTCCAGGGAAAACAAACGCAGTCTATGCAACTTCTTTCATAGTTAAAATTCCCCATAAATCGGTCAACATCTTGGTAAACCTTTTCTGTACCCTCTCCAAAGCATCCATATCCTTCTGGCAGTGTGGCGACTAGAACTGTACACAATATTCCAAGTGTGGCCTACCTAAAATTCTACGAAGCTGCAGCATAACTTGTCTATCCTTGTACTCAATGCCTCCACCAATGAAAGGGAGCATGCCACCGGCCTTTTTACAACCTTATCTACCTGCGTTACCACCTTCACGTGATCTGTGAACCTGCACACCCAGATTCCTCAGCATATCAATACTTGCAAGGGTTCTGCCATTCACTGTATAAATTTCCACCTGTACTTGACCTTCCGAAATGCATCACATCACATTTGCCCGAATTAAACTTCATCTGCCATTTTTTGCCTATGCCTCCAACTGATGGATATCCTGTTGTATCTTCTGACAATCCTCCTCACTATCTGTAACATCACCAATCTTTGTATTGTCTGCAAACTTACAAATTACATCAGCTACATTTTCCTTCAAATCATTTACGTAGACCATAAACGGATGTCCTAGCACTGATCATTGTGGAACACCATTAATCACAACCCTCCATTCCGTAAAACATCCTTCCACTGTTACTCTCTGTCGCCTATGACTAATGTGCACAATGTGGAAACACCTGCTGAAAACGCTTTCTTTGATTCATTTGTGGGAGGTGGGCATCGCTGACTGGCCAGCATTTATTGCTTGTCCCTAGTTGTCCTTGAGAACTGCATTTCTGAACCACTGTAGTCCACTCACATTGCCTTTATGAAGGAAATTCTAAACTTTGATCCAGCGCCGTTGAAGTAAGAGCAATATATTTCCAAGTCAGGATGGTGAGTGGCATGAAGGGGAACTTGAGGGTGGTGGTTTTCCCATATATCAGCTGCCCTTGTCCTTCTAGATAGAAGTGGTCTTGGGTTTGGAAGGTGCTGTCTGAGGATCGTTGGTGAATTTCTGCAGTGCATCTTATAGATAGTACATACTGCTGCTACCGAACATCAGTGGAGGGGGGAGCGGATGCTTGTGTTTGGAGTGGCAATCAGGCGGGCTGCGTTGTCCTGGATGGTGTCAAGCTTCTGGTGTGTTGTTGGGGCTACACTCATCCAGGCAAATGGCGAGTATGCTATCACATTCCTGACTTGTGCCTTGTAGATGGTGGACAGGCTTCAGAAACTCAGGAGGGGTGTTACTCGCTGCAGTGTTCCGAGCCTCTGACCTCCTCTCGCAGCTACTGTGTTTATACGTGGAGTCCGATTGAGTTTCTGGTCAATGATAGCCGCCAGGATGATGACAGTGGGGAATTCAGTGATAGTAACACCAATGAATGTCAAGGGGCACTTGTTAGACTGTCTCTTATTAGTGATGGCCTAGCATTTGTGTGCCATCAAATGTTATTTGCCACTTGTAATCCCAAGCGTGGATATTGTCTGGATCTTGTTGCTTTTGGACATGGACTGCTTCAGTATCTGACGTGTTGTGAATGGTGCTGAACATTGTGCAATCAATCATCAGCAAACATCCCCACTTCTGACCTTATGATGGAGGGAAGGTCATTGATGAAGCAGCTGAAGATGGTTGGGCCTAGGACACTACCCTGAGGAACTCCTGCAGAGATGTCCTGGAGCTGAGACGACTGATCTCTACCAGCCACAATCATCTTCCAATGTGCCAGGTGTGACCTTAACCACCAGAGCATTTGCTACCCCCAATCCGGAAGCCCAGTGATTCCAGTTCTGGCGAGGCTCCTTGACACCACAATTCATTCGAATACAGCCTTGATGTCAAGGGCTGTCATTCTCACCTCACCTCTGGAATTCAGCTCTTTTGTCCATGTTTCAACCAAGGCTGTAATGAGGTCAGGAGCTGAGTGATCCTAGTGGAACCCAAACTGGGAATCACTGAGCAGGTTATTGCTGAGCAGGTGCTGCTTGATAGCACTGTTGATAACACCTTCCATCACTTTACTGATGATTGAGAGGAGACTGATGGGGCGCTAATTGCCTGGGTTGGATTTGTCCTGTTTTTATGCACATGACACAGTCAATTTTCCACATTGTCGGGTAGATGCCAGTGTTGTAACTGAAACAGCTTGGTAAGAGAAGCAGCAAATTCTGCAGCACAACTCTTCAATACAAATGCCGGAATATTGTCAGGGCCTGTAGTCTTTGCAGTATCCAGTGTCTCCAATCGTTTCTTGACATCAAGTGGAGTGAACTGAATTGGCTGAAGACTGATATCTGTAATGATGCGGACATTACAAGCGGCCAAGATGGATCGTCCACTCGGCACTTCTGGCTAAAGATTGCTGCAAAAGCTTCAGCCTTATCTTTTGCACTGATGTGCTGGGCTCTTCCATCATTGAGGATGGGAATATTTGTGGAGCCTCCTTCTCCAGTGAGTTGATTAATTGTCCACCACCATTCATTGACTGCATGTGGCAGGACTGCAGAGCTTAGATCTTATCCATTGGTTGTGGGATAGCTTAGCCCTATCACTTGCTGCATATGCTGTTTAGCATGCAAGTCGTCCTGTTTGGTGGCTTCACCTCATCTTCAGGTATGTCTGGTGCTCTCCCTGGCATGCCATCCTGCACTCTCCATTGAACCAGAGTTGATCCCCTGGCTTGA